TAAATGACTATCCACGACCGAGAGTCAAGAAAAGATCGTTCCAGTCACTCGGGGCTGATGGCGCAGCTCGCGCCCCCTCCCGTCGTCGGCGGCCGCACAGCCTTGGCATATCCAACGTCCATGGGGTTAGTAAGGCACTGCGCATTGGGCCTAGAGTACCTGTGCTGCTGCTCCCTAGTGCATTGTCGTAGATGATGAGATTTACACTCGCGCGCGGTCCAAGTGCCGGGTCGGAGGCGGCCCACCCCGCCCAAGAGCGATGGCGGTGGCCGACACGGGGGACGGGGCCAACCGACGCCTCGGGCCCTCAGTGGACAGGAGAAGAACTGCGCGAGAACCGCACGACAAAAGACAAGCGCATACACAGCTGCACGCTCCCCTGTGAAGAAACCAAAAACTCCGGGCGTCGGGGCGCGCTTGTCGGCTTCTCTCACGTCCCGCCTGAGTGGGAACCCCCGGAAGCTCTCCAGGGGTCTTAGGGCAGCGGTCTTAGGGCAGCGTTCTTGCAGTACATACAGTACATACTACTCCGTAGTAGCGCTAATGAAAAACCCCCGGCCGGGCAGCGACAGGCGAGTTACGCGGAGCCAGGGGCCGGGCGAGCGGGTGACCCTCCAGAGTGCGCGCGCTTGACATTCCCCTCACCGAACGGCGGTGGGCGCCGTCGACGCTCGCGTGGCTTGGAGGCTCTGCTTCCCATTCGTCGGGCTGACGCTCATCTGACAGTGTCGAGAGAGCTTGCTTTCTCTTGCCGCAATCAAAGGTGGCTGACACACTGTGCATACTCTTCTCTTCTCTTCTCTTCTCTTCTCCTCGTTGTTTCGTTTTGCTTCCTTCTTTTCGTACCATGTCTTGCTTCACTTCTGCCGCGGCGGCGACCCGGATGTCTGGCGGCAGGGTCCATCCCGTCGTTGGCATTGGCGCCATTGGGGGCATCGGCCAAGGGCCTCGACCGACTGACTGCTGTAAGCAGATACCATATGCAGATACTGTATGTACAAGGGATGGGCCGAGTTGCGCACGCAGCTGCACGCTGGCGAATGCCGAGCGCCTTCCGGGCTCATGTCTGGGTTCCAATGCCGCCGTCTCTCTTCAACCCTTCTTTTCTTCAGCTTCTTCGATGCCCAGAGTCGTGAATTGGTCAAGGCCATCATGGAAGTCTCATCCAAGATACTGGCTCGCCTCCACTAAGATGCCTTACCCTCCCAACGCCCTCGACAGGCTGCCTCCCGTCTTGCGGCCACGACCACCACCGCAAGCCACGCGGGAGGGTGGTTCGCTGCTCGTAGCGGCCCAAGTTCCAGGCACTCGGGGCAGGCTAGCAAGTCCGGGGAACAGGGGCCCGGCGTACCGTCACCAATGGCATCCCCTCATGACACCCCAATGACACGGCGCCACCCGCCTGCCGCGGGGGCTGACGGTCTCTCCACTGCGGCCGTTTCTTCGCCCTGATAATAAAGAAGCATGCCGCAGCACCCTCACCGTAGAAAGGAGAAGAATGGGTTGGGAGATGGGCTGCTCCATGCTCACTCTCTTGATGCACCAATAGCCGTCCGTACATGCTGTATAGCCATCATGCAGGCAAGTCGTATTATGACTGCATCGTCTAAAGATGGAACATTCGATGCATGCAACAAGGGGAGAGAACAGCTCTCTGCAACGTCTTTGCACCAGTAAATCTGTACGTCGGGGATAGGCATGGACATGAGAGGATTTGAGTAAAAGTCGGTTCATGTAATAAGAAATTATCTACTAATTAAACCGGCCTGTCGTTGGACCAGGCGAGCGGGATACCGGCGGTGCGGAGAATGCACGCCCCCCAGGGGCAAGCCGTTTCCATCGTTGACACGTCCCGGATAACCAAGCCGCTCCAGGGATGCTCGTAGCGCAGCATGCGCCGCATCCGGACAGAGAGTCGAAATAATGCACAATATACTCGATGCGCGTCAAACACCTGGCCCCTTTGATCATGTCGGAAGTGAGGACCCGTATCGTCGGGGCTCCCGCGCGGGATAGACACGTTACATCGTCTTTACCACGCGACAAGCCGCAAACGAGCTGGGCCTCATTGCCTGCGGATGGCTCATGTCAAGCCTGGCAAGAGCCGTAATGCGATGCATTTACGAATAGACACCCGTGGTTACCGCACCTTGCTGTACGACCAGATGCCGGCCCGTGACCGGTAAATATACCGCACGGCATGTCATCGCAGGGCCCTTTGAGCCATGACTGTCTTGGCGCAGGCAGATCGATGGAAGCCATCCGCTGGCGGTGAAGCGGGTCGACTTCCGCGGTCCCGAAAGTTGGGTTCGCGGAACCAGGGCCAAGGTTGAGATGGGAAATGACAATTTACAATTTTGCTCGCGCCATCGCCCACGAACTCGTTTACCGCTCTGGTGTCTCAGGCGAGTGCAGACAGTTGGGAGCGCGGAGCTGGTCCGCAGCCTGGACCTGGATGCAATCAATCACCAGGGCACAAAAAGCAACCGAGGGGACGAATCCGAGCTGAAGAAAATCTGACGTGTCAAGCGCTTGTGTGTTGGGAGCCAAAACACAAGAGTTCTTTTGTAACCCGTCACCTATCGTAATGGTAGAGCAGAGCTGGAGCATACCGGCGGGCATACCGGTCTGGTGAAGACGGCAGTCACGAGAGGGCCAAAAGGGCTAACCAGGGGCAAAGCGTTAGCAGTTGTCAAGCTTGGTTCAGTGCCCTGGTGACTGTTTCTTTTCTCCCTCGAAGAAGGAAAAATTTCTTCCACGCACCAGAGCCATGGCATCTCGCCTGTCATCTTGCCTGTAGGGGGACGGCAGAGGCGTCAATGCGAAATGACCTGCAGGCGTCGTCCACTGTAAGGAAGCGCCGACGAGTCCGGACGAACAACTCGTCGGGGCCGTCGCCGTCCGATGCTATGCCATACGGCAGCTCCGGGTTGTGCGCAAAGGACAAGGGCTGCAAGCTGTCCCAGGTGACCTGGGCCATGTTTCGAGGCTGTCGCAGACCCTCTTTGTGCAGCACGCCCGTCTTGTCGCGACGCAGAGCCCCATGATCTCGGGACCGCAAGTCCAGGGGGAAAGCGTGACGACGGATCAGAGATAGTCGCTGACTGTGCGCATGGGGCGGAATGGCGGCGATGGGCGCACACGGCCGGCGCTCGCAGAGATCTGGCGCACTCTCCCAGGGGGCTCCCAGGGGAGTGCGTCACTGGGTCAGCTGCCCGGTGCGCTGGAGCCACTGGCAGCGTCGTCGGTACGTCGCATCAATCCAGAGGTCACGGCGCAGCATCATCGCCCACGCAGCGGACAAGAAAAAAAAAAGGCCGACGCAAGGCACATCTGATGAAGGCTGAGGCATGTCCAGACACCGCTGGGCTGGGGTTCGGGAAAGCCGCTCGTCTCGTGAACACGTTTAGCTGCCAAGTCTCGATGGCTGGAACACGATTGCGCCGCTGGTGTACAGACCGCTGGTGTACAGACCGCTGGTGTATAGAGAGACCTGATGTCTCGAGCCGGTGCAAGCCTGTGCCTGAAGAATAAGAAAGAACCGGGGGGCATGGTCGGACCCCAGGATTCCAGTTTACAGTAGCAAAAGATGACAATGTGATACCGTGCCGTGCTGGGAACGACCAAGACAGGCGCAGTGCGCGTGGAGAACGGCCGCGGCACAAGTCCGACGACGGAAACGCATCTGAACGAGCTTTCGGCGGTCAAGGCCGCACGACGTGACCTGTTCAAAGATTCCAGAGCCCTTACGAGCCCTTACCAATCAACGGAACCGGCCTTCAAGAATAGCTGCCAATTGGCGGCCATGCCGAAGCGGAAGCGCGCACCCAAAGTGGCGGCAGTCACATGATGGCAAGACTGACCGCACCGCGCTGGGGCCACAGGGCTGCGAAGAGGAGGCTGATTCAGGGCCGGCAAGCAAACGGAGCTGTCCTCGTCTGAACGGCCGTATTTGCCAAAAAGGTCTCTCCGTCCAGGCCAAGTGCAGAGCGAGAACTGCTGCTACAAGAGGACTAGCGCAAAGTAGTTTCGCTATTCCATGTTGGGCAGTATACGGGGCCCGAGGGCATGGGGGACCGCAGGAAAAGTAGTGCCTCTTCGGGAAAAGCGTCTTTTGCGTCCGGTCAGCTGGCAAGAGCAGCCGGCAGCTCCCCGACCCAGAGGGTTGTCCTTTCCCCCCAAATTCCCTTGCGGTGACGGCTCCCCCCCTGCTGGCGCGGCCGGTACTTCAGGCAGTACTGAGAAGCATGTACACAGTACATATGGTGGGACTTTTTGCCAGGGTTTCTGTCAGCAGGCCAAGGCAGTGCCTGGGTCCGCCTTCGGTATTCATGACGGCCTGCGCCCAGAGAGGCTGGGTACCGGAAGGCTTGAATAGGTACGTGTGTCCGTAGACCTCATTCAGAGAATTTCGCACCCCTCCCCCACCCCACCCCACCCCCTCTCCACCGCACGCCCTCCCTCACCTTCCCCCGGCCCAGGCCCTTGCCTCCTCGTTGTGTTCGTTGGCGTTGGGTCCACGAGTTACAAGAGCCAGATGTACTTCACCGCGACTCCCTTTAAGGTTCCCCCCCCAATCCCACCACCATCAGTCGCCTCCCCGAGAACACGCCAACCTTAATAACCACATCCTCTTCCCCAGACACGCTCTTGTTGTCCCTCTTCCCTCTCCTCATCCTTTCACATTGCATATCAGCGACTTTGCGAGCATTTAGCACCTTTCCCTCATTCTCGGCGCCCGCTCTGAGGAACCCCCACCTGCCTCGACACTCTCTTCGCCGCGATATAGCACAACCCATCAGAGCCGCGCCAAACAACGTCGCCTGCCTCTGGTTCGCGCCTCCAGCCCACAATCGAAGCCACTCAAGCCTTTGAGTTGGCGATTGCATCTCACCACACATCTACGCCCTTCCCCTTGCCCGACGACGCACGCCCCGCTGGCTGAGCATCCCTCGGCCACCGCCTCCCGATTCTCCAGACACCCGCTCCATCGAGCGGCCATGCCTTACAGGTTAGACACGCACGTCTTGACCGTGGACGCCAACGTGATCCACAAGGTCGACACTGCAAATCCAGCCAACCTCTTTAGCATGTGGACGGGTATGTCGCTGTGCTGGCCTACCTTCCGACCACGACGCTGACCATGCGCAACGCAGTCTTCTCACGCTGCGCCGACTCCGTTGAACAGGGCCGCAGACTTGAAAACCTGAGCTGGCGCCTTTGGCAAAGAGAGCAGCTCGTTGACAACGGAGGCAAACCCCTCCCAGCCACCGCTCCCGAAGCCGTCACCACCACCCAAGCCCTGCCCCAAAACTTCCTTGCCGAGACCAAGCTGCCCGAGGTCCCCGAGCTCTCTGGAAGCGTCGAGTCGCTCCATGACGACGAGGCTGTCGAGTTCACCTCCGTATCCGCGCCTCTCGAGATCCGCCCCAGGATACGAAGACTCGACTCGTCGACCAGCAGCCGAAGCAAGCGAGACCGCCACATTAGCTCCGACGACTTCGAGAAGATGATTGTGTCGATTGTCAAGGACAAGACACCGCTCTCTGCACCCACGCAAACCTCTATCCCCATGCCGCCGCACAAGAGCCTACCTCTCCCGGTGGCCCCAGCCTTTGAACGCTCTGGCTCGACCACCACCGAGTCGCAGTCGCCGTCCAAGAACTCGGACCACCATTCGGAGGCTTCGCACCCTTCGCCGCTACCCCAGCAGGCCACCAATGTCGTCCGAGGATTCTCCCCTTCCCGGACCTCCATCTTCTCCCAGTACCTCCAAGCCCCCGCGTCCGACGTCACCATTCCCGAGCCCAGCTCTTCTCCCGCCCCTCGGCTTGTGCAGCCTAAGAAGCAGCCGGCCAAGTTTGCTCTCGGAGGATCTTGCTCGCCAAGCGAGCAGGGCCAGAGCGTCGAGAACCTGAAGCCCATCCCCGCCGTCGCCGGCAAGAAGCCAATGTTTCAGATCGGTGGTTCCTCCGAAGAAGAGGGCTCCCTCAAGAGTGCCTTTCTCTCCCCGCGACCCGCCTCTGGCCTAGGGGCGCCCAAGAAGCAGACGTCTTTTAGCAACCATGTCGCGACTTACACCATTGGCCAGAGCGACCCAGCCGTCGACTCCGACACCGAGTACGTCGATGAGAGTGCCATTGATGATGACGACGACTCATCCGACTGGGAGGACTCGGTCGAGGACAGCGGCAAGTCGAGCGTCGACGACAAGTTTTTCCAGCGCGTTCCGTCCAAGGCCAACCTGACTTCGCGACCATCGCTCATCACCCTCATGTTGGCGCAAAACGAGCGAGCCAAGAACCTGGGCAACCATGCTTCGCAGTCGACGTCTGCCATCCCCAGGTCGCGCGCAGGACCGAGTGCCCCGTCGCTGGGCGGCTCCCCCAACGACTCGGACGAGGCCCCCCTCATGATGAAGGGCACGCATCACTCGACGTTGAAGCCCATCAGCGAAATCCCTCGATCGACCGCTCAACCCATTGCCGTCACGGTCAGCCGCGCCTCGGCTCAGGCTGCCCTCTCGCCGCGCACCACGCGCCGGAACATGCTCGCCACGGAGTTGACCGAGTCCCTCCGACGCCATCTCCTTTGGGAGCGCCAGCAAAAATCGTCGACGGCCAACGCGGTCTTGAAACGGCGCCACACTTCGCATGACGTGGCCAACTTGAAGCAATTCCCGGAGAAGCCCTGCCTGAAGAAGGCTGAGGACGACGACGCCACCAGCTGGAACCAGTACTTCTCCAGGGAGGCGCTTCACGGATACCATTCCAAGGGCTGGTGAAGCTTGTTAATAAAATGACACGATACCACGGCAGTTACATCAAAGTCCTCACAAGACGAAAGCAGATTTCGACTGGCGATGCCACTTGGCAACCTCGCCGTGTATATCTCAAAGGCGTACAAAACTCTCTTCGCTCGCAACGCAATCTTGGCTGCGGCACGGCTCTGTGCTGTGATGGCCGCGGAAAAAGGTCACGATTTTCTCACTTAATACCATGATCCAGCTTGCCAGCATCACGCGCTCGCTCGGGATACATGAAGGAAAGGGACCCCTCGACAGGGAGTCCTCATTGTTTGTTTTTGGTTCTGCACTTTGCGCGGCGTTTCTTTCCGATGATACCAAGGTCTGACGTTGGTGGCTTTTTCACCGCCACCTCCCACGGGAGCTCACGCGTTCATGTATTTTGGCCGATACGAAGCTATTGGTAGTGTGTACTTTATGGACCATTGAGGGATCAAGACGCGGACTATGCCCCCAGGGGCGCCGTTGGGCAGAAAGGCGAGAAGGTATGATCCCTCAGACGGGAGGCGAGCGGGCACAGAGGCAGCGAGCCACCAAAAATGGGGAAGCGGGGATGGATAATGACGACTTCCCACTGGAAGGCCAGTTGGGCAGGGAAGGGGAGAAGGGCAATAGGCCACCAAAAGATTGATGGTTTCGCCCCCAAAAAGAAGTTTACATCTAAAAAGAGAAGTTTGCGAAGGCACGCAGACGCAAGCCATGGCCGTAGAGGCGCTCGTGACAGTGGAAGTGATGATTGTTTGATGGGGAGGAGGTGCGTCTCGGACGAGTCACATGGCATCGACATTGGATGATGGCGAGTCGAGGAATGAATGGCTGAAGCGCAAACAGCCGTTTGGACAAGAGGATTAGGCTTTTGCCTAACAAAGGCTACCTCTGGATTTGCTGGACGCCGGAACGTAGGGCCGATTGAGCTCTGGGCTGCAATGGCTCAAGTGAATGAATCATTCAAGTGCAGCCGGGTTGATTCACTCTGTCGCTACCGGCGGAGCTTGGGGTCGCCCGTGATGTTCCTAGGGGGGGGATGAGAGGTGGTCGACGGCATCTCGGACCGACAGACAAGCGGGGAGGGAGAGTTGACTTGGACGGGACTGGATCGATCAGGGATGCGATTGCGATTTTCCCGAAAGACAGTTACAGTACGTAGTTGGTTGGCTTAGGTAAGGCAACCCGGTCAGGCGGCGCGCGGGCGGCGATCAAGAGGGCACCGACACGCACCGACACGCACCGACACGCACACACACGCACGCCCGAATCAAAGGACGAGGCAGGCGGCGGGTGGTGGACAAGACATTCGAGGTGCAGCACGTTGTGTCGTCACATCGTGAGCAATCACGGGGGAGCTCGGCGACGTGGTCCTCCTGCAGCCAGTTCCATGTTGTCAGGAGGACCGTTTGACGACTGTTTGAATTGGTCGACAAAGCCTGTTTTCCCTTGCTTGCTGGGGGAAGTAGATCGAAGATCGGGACCCGGCGGTCTCTCGGGACTGTCCTCGCAGTCTTTTGCAGGGCACAAGATCACGTCAATCAATCACGGCTCAACTGACTGGATGATACACGGTTAGCGCGAGGACAGCGAAGGGAGGGGGTGTGCGAGGCGAGAGGGGGAGCTAGCGAGGGCGCGTGTGTGGTGTATGCGCTGGCGTGTGTGTGTGTTGTTGTTATTGTTGTTGTCGTTTTGGGTGGTGATGAATGGGCTCACTGTACATTCCCCTGCTCATCCACGAACCAAGGGCGGTACGGGAAAAAGGCGGAATGGAGACGGTAGCGAGGCATTCATACATACAACCCGGATAGCTCGAGGTCGACCCTGTTCCGTCCCCCGGCAGAGGCTGTTGGAGGGTGCCGGGAAGAGGCAGAAAAGGCTCTCCGGAAGCGTTCAGAGGCGCGGGGCGAGAATGAATGCAAGGAGGGCGTAGGCGTATACCTACTACTGTACTCTGCTTTACTGTACCGATGCAGGCGGCAAGTGAGCTGGCAGTAGCCGCTCCTCGGCGCCGTGCTGGTACCTTGTTTCCCCCCCCCCCCCGCTCGGGAGACGGTAGACGGGGCCTCGGACGGGGTGGGGGCTTGGGTACTCGTCAAGAGGCTCACATGGCAGCATTCAGATGGCCTCGAAAGCTTGACTACCTATGCCCTGTTTGTGGACGTCTTATCACGGACGTACAGCACTGTCCTGTAGTTGAAGAGAAATAAAACGGCACGCGCACAAGATGGCTAAAAACTGGCTTTCGCTCAGACTACAATCTTGTCTACAAGAGCTACCCGCGGAAAGGTAGGCTCGGTTGCTTGTGACCGTGGACGGGGCACAGGAGCCCAGTCGGCGGCACATGATGCCGCTGCCTCGAAAGGGGTTTTTTCCCCTCTCCTCCTTCGATAGAGGTGCCAGGTGGTGGTGGAGGAGGCGAGGTGTTTTCTTTTGGTGGAGACGGACGAGGATGGAATGCGGGAACCGGATGCGGGATTGCGGGGGTGTGTGTGTGGGAGGTGGGAGGGGACAAGCTTGTGATGCTGCTGCTGCTGCTGCTGTTGCTGTTGCTGCTGCTGCTGCTGCTGCTGCCTGGAAGCGGCCAGATATCGGGCCCTGGAGACAAGCAGCGCAGCGATCGACGGTTTGGCCTCGTGTGCCGTTTCAACGCTCCTCTGTGCACTCGTGTTCTCCCGGGCGGGTTGACGTCGGGACATGTGTTTCCAGCTGCTCACCGAGGACACAGAATATCTATTCCGCGGGGTTTCATTTCTCGCCTTTTGCTCGGCCGAGCGGCAAAGCTGTCGGGACCTGTCGGGCGCACGACCCACGGGGGCCCGGGCAGGCCGTGCATTTATCGGCCAAGGTCGGCCAGTGAAGCCCCGGGGACGCGCCAGGACCGGGGAGGGCGCATCCCGGGGAATGAAACAAATCTGGAAAGAAGGAATTGAAATGGAAAAGGTGTGGAATAACAGAATAATGGTAAGTTGTTATTTTTATTCACACATCCCCGTCTTGTTTGTGTTTAGAGTTGGCGTGGCCTCCCGTTCACAGTTGCTAATGAGAGTGGGAGAGAGACACCGCCATCTGGTCAACGTTTGCGGCCCTCTCTCTCTCCCCGTCCTCGTCGTCGGGCCGACGGCCGCATACCAAACTCATCACGGGCTCCTTGAATGCAGCATGGGAAAACCAAGCCAAAAAAAAAGGTGGCACGCGACCTGGTGACGAAAAGACGACGCGATCGAGTAGCTCTGCATCGAGATGCCTTTTTTCCCCCTTTGGCTTGTTTGGGAGCGGGGCGCCGACCCATACGTCATAAATGCCGAGGCCTGCCTGCTCTGGAACAAGGGGGCTCTCAACCACACCCATGGCCCAAATAGGGGTGCGCGGCCGAGCGAGCATTTCCCCGTCGGGAATGATTGTCGGCTTCTGGCGAGCTGCAGCACTGCACTTTTGTTTTGAGCCGTCAATCGTCACCACGTGCGCCCGCCGTGCGTGTCATGTTCAGGTCTGACGTGACGGCGGGGCCCAATCGCAACCTGTCGTCGATTGTCAGCCAGCAGCAGCAACGGCTGCGTGCCGTGTGATGAGGAGGCGGGGGCCGCCGACCGTTTTCTTCTTCTGGTGCCGACGAGAGCGTATTTGGCAGAGGCAATGGGTGAAGAGGCGTCTTGCTCTGTATGGAGTACCGAGTACGAAGATGGGTACGTAAATACACGCCTGTGGCTTGTGCGTGTGTGCCGGAGCCAGATTATTGTGGGCAAATCTTGCCGCACAGCACCATCAGCGGCTTGCCCCGGACAGGCAGGTGGCGCGCGTGCATGGCCAAGCAAAGGCTCCAGCCCTTCCAGAAGCCTTCTCCCGCAACGTGCCAGACCCGCTTTTGCAAGCCCAGGCGGCGTGAGACATGGGCACATCTGCAGCCACTGGCAGAGCCACACCACCCACAGCGGTACCTGTCGCCGATGCGGACCCACCCAATTATCGATTTAATCCCCTCTTTTATTCTTTTAATCTATTATTTGTCTTGGAGCGGCTTTTCCGCCCCCAACTCTTCACATGAAAGATTTCTTCGGTGCCGCCCGATGCCCAAACTCGACCGGACGCCCCCTCTCCGTACGGACCCGGCTGCCCAGCATCACGAGGACGTCGATAACCGTACATGGTCGCCCCTGACATGCCCTTTCCACCCCCCAATAACCCCAAACCTTGCCGTCAGAATCAAAGGCGGAGGCGGCATGCACCGTGACTTCATGGCTGCCCGAGGCGCCGGGTCGTGATGCATCTCACATCTCTGTCGATGCTTGGCCTGCGTGCATTTCCAAGCAGGCCGTCTAGGTACACTAGCTCTATCGCGCATCATGAGTCCATGACCAATGCTTGTGCCCCCGGTGCCGTCTCTCGGCCGGACCACCGTCCGGAGCTGCGTTGTCGGATGGGAGGCCCGGGTCCCCCGAGCGTTTGACATGATGGTTGCGCACCCACCAAGCCTTCTTGCATGCGGTCCACACCTCCCGGGCCGAGGATGCGTCGCTGACCGGAGCGTGGGCCGTCTTGCTGCTCGTGCTCGGCGAGGTGTCGTCGTCCACGTACTACATGCTGTACCTGTGATATACTCGAGACAAAGGTAGATAATTAGATGTCGATTTAAATATGGAAGATTCCGACGGCGCGTCAGCACCAGCATCAGCACCATATCGAAGAAACCACCATGTGTAAATTCTGCCGAGCACTGTAGTCGCAGCGCTCAATCAATCGTGACGCCGCTGCTCGCCACTGCCCTGCCCGAGCCGAGGTGAGCGTCCGACCATCCCCCGTCGCGCAGAGAGTTTCCAGGGACTTTTTATGTGACTCAACGGCGCGGCGCTCGGATTCCCGCCCGCGGAGCTGACGGCGAGACCTTTCGGGCCTTTGGCTGACGGTTTTCCGTTGCTCGGCCATCTTCCAATCACTCTAGCGCTGGTTTTCAGCCGCTGCAGCTATTCCGGGTAATGGTGATTTGCTACCACTTG